TGAGCTGCACACAGAGACAGCCTCAACCCAGAACCCAGCCCCACCCAACAGGGTCGTTCTCCACCAGCCTCCCAAGCCCCAGTAGGTATAGACAAGACAGAGCTCCTTCCAAGAAAAGCTCTCCACACCAACTCAAGACTCAGATTCATAGACAGATGCTGGTGGCTCACACCTGTAATCCTAGCTACTCAGGAGACTGAGATCTGAGGATCGTAGTCCAAAGCCAGCCCAGGCAGGAAAAGTCCATGAGACTCTTACCTCCAATAAACCATCAGAAAACTGGAAGTGGCACTGTGGCTCAAGTAGCAGAGCGCTGGCCTTGAGCTGAAGAGCTGAGGGACAGCACCCAAACCCAGAGTTCAAGCCCCATGACCAATAACAACAACAAAAAAACTCAGATTCAGTTCCATCCAGGCACCAGAGGCTCATGCCTGTAATCCTAGCTACTCAGGAGGCTGAGATCTGAGGATCAGTTTGAAGCCAGCCGGGACAGGAAAGTTTGTGACAGTCTTATCAACCAACCACCAGAAAACAGGAAGTGGCACTGTGGCTCAAGTGGTATAGCGCTTGCCTTAGTTTAAGAGCCCAGGCGCAGAGTCCAAATCCTACCACTGACCAAAAAAAAAGATTCAGTTTCCACATGGTGCCTGGGGAGGCCCCAGAGAACAGCACTTGGGCAAGCTCAGCAAACCTCCCAGGACTAAGCAGCCACCAAACCAGGTGCATGGTCCGATTTCTAGCCATCGAGGACATGCTTGCCACACAGCACCTTGATGGAGGCACCACAGACTCCCCTGGGAGGGATGGCCCTACAGTGCTCACCTTGGGCAGGTGTTTCATGACGCACATGACCACTGGCTGCAGGGATGGCATCTTGACCAGAGAAAAGCTCTTCTCTAAAAGATCCTCCAGCTTCTTGTACCTGGGGAAACTTTCAGCTCTCGGTATGCAGAACACATGCACACACAGCTCCACCTCTACAAAGAGACCTGTGCCGCAGTTCCCAGGATAATAGGTGGTTGCAGCCGGGCCCCTATAGTCCTAGTCACTAGAGAAACCACAACCTGGAAGATCACAGTTAGCAGCCAGCCCACACAGAAAACACGAGAGGATCCTTGTCTACAGCAAGCAACAAAAGGCAGGGCTGGAGGAGCGTTTTGGATGGCTGAGTACCAGTCTAGCAAGTGCAAGGCCTTGAACTACAACCCAGTACTGTCAAAAGGAAAACGAAGTGGCTGCAAGGCCTCCCGGCCCGGGACGGCTGGCTGAGGGAAACCCACCTTTCGTCGGCCTTCCCCTCCGAGGCGATGGCTGACACTCGCTCCAGGAGTTTGTCCCGCAGCTCGTCAAACACCGACTGGTGGAACTCGAGGCGCGGCGTCCCGTGCAGGTCCAGGAAGGGCAGGGCCGACTGCAGGGAGGGCAGGAGGACGCCGTTCTCCGTCTGAGGAGGCAGGAGTCAGTGGGTTTCGAGGGCAGCAGCCTTGGCCACCGGGGCCCGGGCGGCTCGGCCGGCGCGCGGGCGCAGGGACGCAGGGGTGCAGGGCGCAGGGGCGAGGGGCGCAGGGGCACAAGGCGCAGGGGTGAAGGCCGCAGGGGCGCAGGGGTGAAGGCCGCAGGGGCGAAGGGCGCAGGGGTGTAGGGCGCAGGGGCGCAGGGGCACAGGGCGCAGGGACGCAGGGGCGAAGGGCGCAGGGGGGCAGGGGCGCAGGGGCACAAGGCGCAGGGGCGCAGGGGCACAGGGCGCAGGGGTGCAGGGGCACAGGGCGCAGGACGCAGGGCACAGGGCGCAGGGGCACAGGGCGCAGGGCACAGGGCGCAGGGGCACAGGGCCGCAGGGCGCAGGGCCGCAGGGCGCACGGCACAGGGCGCAGGGCCGCAGGGGCACAGGGCGCAGGGCGCAGGGCACAGGGCGCAGGGCCGCAGGGCGCAGGGCACAGGGCCGCAGGGCCGCAGGGCACAGGGCGCAGGGCCGCAGGGGCGCAGGGCGCAGGGGCGCAGGGGCACAGGGCCGCAGGGCGCAGGGGCGCAGGGCGCAGGGCACAGGGCGCAGGGCCGCAGGGGCACAGGGCGCAGGGCGCAGGGCCGCAGGGCGCAGGGCCGCAGGGCACAGGGCGCAGGGCCGCAGGGCGCAGGGGCGCAGCGCGCAGGGCGCAGGGGCGCAGGGCCGCAGGGCGCAGGGGCGCAGGGCGCAGGGCGCAGGGCGCAGGGCGCAGGGCCGCAGGGCGCAGGGCGCAGGGGCGCAGGGCGCAGGGGCGCAGGGCGCAGGGGCGCAGGGGCGCAGGGCGCAGGGGCGCAGGGGCGCAGGGGCGCAGGGCGCAGGGGCGCAGGGGCGCAGGGCGCAGGGGCGCAGGGGCGCAGGGCCGCAGGGCGCAGGGGCGCAGGGGCGCAGGGCGCAGGGGCGCAGGGGCGCAGGGCCCAGGGCCGCAGGGCCGCACGCCCGGGCCCGCGCGCGGGCGCCCGCGCACCTGGAACTGCTCGATGGCCTTGAGGGGCTCCGTGCAGTTGGTCAGGGTCTCCTTCAGGTCCTCGCCGTTGGCCACGCCCAGGTCCTGCAGCCCCGCGAACATGGCCGACGCCCCGGCCGCCGGCCGCCCGGGCGCCCCATCGCCCGCACGCTCCCCCGGCGCCCCCGCGGACGCCGCGGGCACCCCCGCGGCCCGCTCTCCGGGGCCTCGGGGGCCGCCCGCGCTCCGCTCCCCCGCGGCCTCCAGCTCCGCCACGTCGCGCGCCCGAGCGGCTCCTCACGGGCCCGCCCTGCCCACTTCCGCCCCTCACGACTCTGGTCCGCGCGCCAATTGGCCCCCGGGAAACGCCGCCTGCACCGCGCGCAGGTTCCGGACCGCAGAGTGCTTCCTTCCAAGAGAGTGGGAGGAGAGGGGAGGAGTAAGGACGTCCGGGCGGGGAGGGGCGGGGCGGGGCCGGAAGACGCACGCGGGGGCGGGGCCCGAGGACGCCCGGGCGGGGAGGGGCGGGGCCTCCGGGCGCACAGGAGAGGGCATGGCCGGAGGACGCACACGGGGGCGGGGCCCGAGGACGCACGGGGGCGGGGCCCGAGGACGCCCGGGCGGGGAGGGGCGGGGCCTCCGGGCGCACGGGAGAGGGCATGGCCGGAGGACGCACACGGGGGCGGGGCCCGAGGACGCACGGGGGCGGGGCCGGAGGATGCTCTGGAGAGGCTGGAGGCCCGGGCGGGGCGCGGCGCGGCGGGGCGCGGGCCGGAAGACGCCCCTCCAGGCCGCGCCACCCTCCGCGCCACCCCCGCCGATTACCGCAGCTCAGGCCCGGGCCTCGCGCCCCGTGGGGTCAGGGGTCAGTGGACCGACGCTGCTCCCACGCACGGCTTCTCTTTCTCACCACGACCGCCGCCTCCAGCTCCTCCCGGGGACCCCGGCCGCGGCCCCTCGCGCCCGGAGGACGCCAAGCCCGACGGGCGCCCAGGGTCCCGCGGGGCCCTTCCGCGGCGGTGCGGGAAGCTCCCGCCGCCGGGGCTCCTGCGGGGCGCACCTCCCCACGCCGCCCTCCGCCCCGCCGCGCGGCCCCACACCCCTTCCCCAGCCGCCTCTGCCCTGAGGTTTTCTCTCGCTTTCTTTTCTGTTTGGTCGGTCGTGGGTCTTGAACTCGGGGCTGGGCGCGGTCCCTGCGCTCTTCGGCTCAGGGCCAGCGCCGCGCCGCTTGGCCGGCGCCACGTCCAGCTTTCTGGTGGCTAAGTGCGCGTCAGAGCCTCACGGAATTTCCTGCCTGGGCTCACTGGTGGTCCTCCGATGTCAGCCTCTTGGTTGAGGATTCCCTCCATGCCCACCCTTACATGTGTCCCTGTCATCCGGCTCTGGTGGCTCACCCGTCATCGCAGCTACTCCAGAAGCTGAGATCTGAGGATCATGGTTCAAAGCCAGCCCGGGCAGGAAAGTCCCTGAGACCCTTAACTCCAATGAACCACTAGAAAGTGGTGCTGTGGCTCAAAGTGGTAGAGTTCTATCCTCAAGAAGAGCTCAGGGACAGTGCCTAGGCCCAGAGTTCAAGCCCTACAACTGGCACAAAATAAAGTTCCTCTGTGGTTGCCTTCTCCAAGAAGACCTCCCTCCCGAAGCCGGGGCTATCACAGCTCTCATTTCTGTTCCTGCTGACTGGTCTGGTTAGCACAAGGTACAGAAGCAATATCCCCAGGGCACTGGCCCTCACCCTGGAGCTGGTGAAGCCAGAGAACACTCATTTTCAGTCTGGGGTTTTCACTCTGCAAAGGGGGTGGTGCCAGCCCGGGGCAGCAGTGGCAGCACCTTGATGAGGCTGAGCTCTGCTCCAGGTCCAGATGTGGGAAGAAAGAGCCGGAGGGGAACAGGAGAAACTGACATCACTAGCTCTAGATGAGTCTGAGCAGGAGGTCAGGCCAGGCCCAGAGGAGCCAACAACCAGTCTGCTGCTCCAGCCAATGAGTGGAGGCCTGGAATTGTTATTGGCTGTGCTTTGGCCTGCACAGCCTTGAGCAGGGTTCTCCAGCAGCCAAACCCAGCTGGATCATTGAGGCCCTGGGCCTTCCTAGTGACTGGCCCAAGAAGCCTACCTCAGATATCAGTCTGGGGAGTCTGGCATGTGGGGGGGGTGGGTCCCATCCCAGAACAGGAAGCTCAGGGTCAGCTCCAGGTTGCCATCCCAACCATACTAGAGAAGAGAGCATACAGGGTAGGACAGGGAAGCCCAGAACTTAGAGATACAGCAGGCCACATCTTGAGGACAGCACACCAGGTGGGAGATGGGCAGCCAAACACTACAGAATTCACAAGAATCAACTGCATCTCTGTATTATAGCAAGGGGGTGGGCAGATGGGGGCTCTGAGCTAGGATCCCCTATCCACACCCACAGAAGGATCCGTGGGCAGGGAGGGTAAATCAGGGGTCCCCAGAAAGTCTGGTGGCCAGATGGGGGGAGGGGCACCAAGTTCCAGAAGAAGGACTAAGAAAGCCCCAGGGAAGCCAGCCCTCCACTCTGACTGGCTGGGGGTCTAGAGTGTACAGAAGGGGCCTGTGTCATGGCGCTTGGGTCTACGCACGCCCTGTATGACCACGCCCGGAGTAGAGGGGAAGCGGGAGTTGTAGCAGTCTTCCACATAGTAAGTAGCAGGGCCAGGAGTCGGGGCTGCAGAGAGAAAGGGCTGAGATCCTAACCCGGCCTGCCCCATCCACCTGCCTCCCCCCCCCCCCCGCTCCCCAGGCCTCCTTACAGAAGCTGATCCAGGAGGTACTCCCCGGTGAGCGGCTCATGGAGAAGGCTGGTGAGCGCTGGCTCTGCAGGCGGAACCCCGGAAGGACATCGTAGGTGTTGGGGCTAGGGCGCTTCTCCCCAGGGGGCTGTGGAGGGTCCTGGAGGGGGGGGTGGGCACGAGGACGCCTGCCCCTCGTCCACCCAGGACGGGACTGGTTCTCAGGCGCCTTGGCAGCAGAGCCTCCAAAGCTGAAGGCGGGGAAGGCAGGCCAGGTGACCGGCAGGTACTGGGCAGGTGATGGCCACTGTGAGGAAGCAGAGGGGGTATTGCGTTACCCTGCTCACCCAGTGCCAGAACACACACACACACACACACACACACACACACACACCCGCAAGACATCAGGCCCTGTTCTTCCCTTCCTGGTCCTCAACCCTTCCCTCCCACATCTGACCCCTTTCTGTCCTCTGCTCCCCTCCCCTGCTCTGTGGCCCCTTCCCCACCCCCTTGTCTGGCCCCTACCTTTTGCTCTCTGTTGAAGTCAACCTTCTGAGTGAAAGGGCTTTCACTCTGGAGCCAGGAGGTTTGCCATGCTCTGCGGCCGCCGCCCTCTGTGGCAAATGGGGAGGGTGTGGGAGGGGTCCCCCACCCCCAGGAGGGGGCAAACCAGGGGCCTGGGAAGGGGATACACACCTCTGCTGGGGTACTTGAGGCCGAAGGTGTAGTGGGGGTGCGGGGAGGACTCGCGCACAGAAGCATCTGGAACTTCGTATTTGGTGGGGCCAGGGATGTCCAGATCGATCAGGATGGGTGGGCGTTGCTCCAGCACTGACACCAGGAAGCGAGCATGGGACCCAGGCTCCTCTGGGCAGGCCGCTCCCCACTGTCTCTCCCCAGAGTGGCCATGACCCCCACTCACACAGCTCCTTTAGGGCCCCAGAATAGACAGACCAGCACTGCTCGGGGGGGCATACTTGATACTTGGGCAGGGTCCTAGTACAGACGGGGTGGCACTCCTGGATTGGACACACTGGGAGCTTGGGGCAGGCCGGAGCCCTCCGGGCCTTCTTGGTCTTCGGAAGTAACATTGCAGGCTCGTCCTGGTCCCTGTCCCACCACAGCACCGCAGCTTCCGGCCTGCAAGAGGCAGAAACCAGGGCTGGGAAGGTGGCATGCATGCATGAGGCCCTGGGTTCGATTCCTCAGCACCACGTAAGCAGAAAAAAAAAGGCCGGAAGTGGCGCTGTGGATCAAGTGGTAGAGCGCTAGCCTTGAGCTGAACTGCTGAGGGACAGCGCCCAGGCCCAGAGTTTAGGCCCCACGACCGGACCCCCAAAAAACAAACAAACAAAAAAAAAGAGGCAGAAGCCAAGGCTCACCCAGCCCACCAGCCCCTGCAACCGACCCCCACCCACCTGCGCTGCCCTCTGGAATTACTCTGAGGGAGGCGGGGGCCTCAGGGGACCATGGGTCCAGTGTTTGCCATCATTGATGTAAAAATTAGCCAAAAACTTCACAGACTTCTGGTCAAAATCCATCCTAACTTGCTTCTCTTTCTGAGGGTACTATGGGGCTTTGTGACCTCACTGCTGACCCCAGCCCCACGCCCTCGGTTGCTGGGAGCTCCCTAGGGAAGGACCATTGTCCAGCCCAGAAGGGGCTGGCCCCTCCCCCACCTGCTGGGTGGGTTGCTCTGGTCGGCCTTGGCCACGAGGATCCATAGCTCATACAGGAACTGGATGACCCAGCTTCCCGTTCTCCCTAACCGTCTCCCTTCTGTCTTCTAGACTATGGGTTCTGCTGGGGGCTCACGTGCTCCCTGGCAGGCCTGAGGGAAGGTGGCAGGACCCTGCCAGCCTTGCCACATCCTCCAGGATACCCAGGTGTGCAGGGAGAGTCGAAGGCGAGGGGGGGGATCAAGGGCGGGGGAAGGAGAGCTGTCCAGCTCAGGCCTGGTTCCTGAGCTGTGGCCCTCCCAGGCAGGCTAGGTATGAGGACCTGTCCCCTGCCCGGGACATAGAGGCTAGGAGGCCAGGATGTGTTGCAGATGGACCGAACTGCCTAGCCCAGGCACAAGGGGATAACGTGCATGAGGAAACACGAAGCCCACTGGGCACCACGACCCTTGCAGAGGGACCCTAGGTTCAGGCTGGGCTAGTAACCCCAGCCCTGAACTTAGCCCCGTACTCCCAGGCAGGGCCTGGTCGTGAACACCTTACCCACAGAGCCTCTACCTCGACAGTCTCTTCCTCTCTGGGTCCCTCCTGCCCAGCCCTGGCTGGCACAGTGACACCCTCTGGATGGGGACAGATGATAGACATGTGAGAAAGCACGTCTGATTTGGGTGAGTGTCCCCCACCTCGGGTGGTGTGATGTTCTCTGAGAACCTCATTGCTGATAGTGGAAATCTGACTGGTATTGAAGGCCTCATAGCCAGGGAGGTAAGCTCTGTCCCTCCCGTGGCAAACAGCGCTGTGGCCAGGGCCCTGCACAGGCATCTCTGGCTGCACATCAAGGAACTTCTTGAATGTAGACTTGGAGGGTGAAGCCTGTCTTGTTGGGACTTGATCTGTATTAATAGACTGTGCTCCAGGCATCCCAACACTGCATATTAGTAATTGCTGTTACCAGCATATTTGTGTGTGTGTGTGTGTGTGTGTGTGTGTGTGTGTGTGTGTTCATGTGTGCGTGCTGCTCCTGGGGCAAGCACTCTGCCTGAGCTCGGTCGCTGAGCTATGCTCAAGGATGGTGCTTTAACACTTCGCAGCACCTCCACTTCCACTTTTTTAGTGGTTAGTCTCACACTTTCTTGCCCCAGGCTGTCTTCAAACTGCAATCCTCAGATCTCAGCCCCTTGAGTATCTAGGATTACAGGTGTGAGCTCCTGGCATTCAGGTAGCAACATTTTAAAGAAAAGATTATAGTATTACGCGTTTATGTATGTATTGACTACTTTATTTTGTTGCAGGGTCTGGCTGTGTAGCTCAGGCAGGCCGAAAACCTCAAGGTCGTCCTGCGGCAACCTCCCCCGTGAGGGGATTGTAGGTGTGGTTGCTACCCCCAGACTATCACCAGAATTTGACCAGCACTTATTTGACTCAGGTTAGACCTTACCTCTATGTGTTTATTGACCATGGGTTTTTTTTCTTAAGATGTTACCATTTTCACTTTAATATTGGGTGGTTAATTTTTTATGTTTGGTTTCATGATAACGTTATCTATTTGTAACACTTGTTGAGTTTTTCCAGTTTGTAGTTTGCTTTGGTATCAGTTTTTCATGTACATGTGTGTTCTGGTCCTGGGGCTTGAACTCAATGCCTGGGCGCTGTCCCTGAGCTTTTTTGCTCAAGGCTAGCGCTCTACCACTAGAGCCACAGCTCCACTTTCAGCCTTTGTGGAGCTTAATTGGGATAAGAGCCTCACAGCTGGTCACTCACTATTGGTTCACGCCTGTAATCCTAGCTACTCAGGAGGCTAAGATCTGAGGATCACAGTTCAAAGCCAGCCTGGGCAGGAAAGTCTGTATGATTCTAATCTCCAATTAACTACTAGGAAAAACAAAACAAAACAAAAAAACAAAAAAGAAGTGGCACTGTGGCTCAAAGCGGTAGAACGCTAGCCTTGAGCCAAAGGGCTGAGGGACAGGGCCCAGGCCCAGAGTTCAGGACCCACAACCGATCAAAAAAAAAAAAAAAAGAGTCTCACAGACTTTCCTGCTCAGGCTGGCTTCCAGCTGCTATACTCAGATCTCAGCCGCCCGAGCAGCTAGGATTACAGGTAGCAGCCACTGGTGTTCAGCTTTAGTACCGTTGTTTGTTGTTGTATTGCTTTGTTTTCACATAGTATAAAATCCAACTGCTTCCTTGATAATTTTTTCCTTTCATTTTTGTGGTTAGAAGGCTCTTCCTGCAACGAAAAGCAAAATTAGGATTTAATATAGGAAACAATAACTTGCTCTTGTTGGAAAGTCGACCTAGCCCTCTGTTCAGGACCCCCCAGACTCAGCACTGGGGCGGACCCCAGACACAGCACTGACCTTCCTCTGCAGGGAGACAAGGTGGAACAGGCTGTCAACCTGGGGGTTGGGGGCGGGGGAAGGGGGGGGAGAGGCTGATCCTCAGCTGGGTCCTGGCCTCTGGGGATAGTGACTCTTCCCCAGTCTGTGGTTTTGGCTCTCTGGAGTGGGCCCACTGCCTTGCCTGGACACCTTCCTAGCCGGGCCCCAGTCTGGTCCTGGGTGGCCTCTGTGGCGTGGGGGCACTCACAGGATGGGACAAGTGGCTGGCCCACAATTCTGGCCCCTTCACAATGGTTTCCAGGCAACAAGACTCCTCTGGGCAGGCCACTGGACACAGAAGGGGCTGAGTTAGCTAGGCCGTATTCTTGGCAAATGACCGCGACTCAGAAGCATAACCTCTTCACACCAGAACCTCACTACATCCCCGGGTAAGAGCCAGACCTGCAAGAAGGCTGGGGTAGGAATGCAGGGTGGACAGCAGAAGTGGACTCACATGGACTCGAAGGCCAAGGGCCAGTGCTAAAGAGGCTGCAGGCAAGGGTCACCACTCAGTGCAGCTGGGACTGAGGTCCTAGGATGGGAAACTTGACCACAGGAAAGTTCTGAGGAAAAGGCTACAGAAGGAGGTCTGGGCCTCACACCCTCCCTGCTGGATTCTGATGGACACAAGTGGCCAGCATGTCCATCACAAGCAAAACAGGCAGCCACACAACTGTACTCATTGGCTAAGTAAAGCCCAGTACTCCTCCACAGAGTGATTTAGGCTGCTCACTAAGAATCCTCCTCCACTTAAAACAAAACTTTACACACATTCACATACACATGTAACTTTATAGACATATATATAAACATATTTTGTTGTTGTTGTTGGTCGTGGGGCTTGAACTCTGGGCCTGGGTGCTCTCCCTCAACTCTTCAGCTCAAGGTGAGTGCTCTACCACTTGAGCCACAGTGCTACTTCTGGCTTTTTCTGCTTATGTGATGTGGAGGAATCAAATCCAGGGCCTCATGCATGCAAGGCAAGCGCTCTACCACTGAGCCATGTTCCCAGCTCTCCCTGAGCTTTGAGCCATGAACCACTGGAGCTAGCTTGATGGGAGTCTTGAAAACTGTTTTGCCAGTTCAGACTGGCCTTGAACTGGTAAATTCTGACAATTATAATAAAGAAAACTCAGGCCGGATGTAGATCAGTGGTACCACACTTACTTGCCTAGCCTCCTTGAGGGCCTGGGTTTGCTCCTCTGCATCGCACACACCAACTTGACCAGGCATGTTAATGCACGTCTGTAGTTTAACCAGTTTGGAAGCTGAGGCAGGAGAATGGCTCCTAAGAAGAAAATAAAACCTCTATGATTGCAGGCCCACAGTAGCACCGAACGTGCACACACACAGACACACACAGACACACACACACAAGTAGACAAAGAACCACTTACCTTCCAAGTTTAGCCCGCCCTCCCTCTCTCAAAACTGGCATGGTAGAGTGGCCACTGGCCTTCTGGGTAGCAGAAGACCCAGCCAAGTCCCACACCACACCTTCCTGCTGCGTGAGCCCTGAACCAGACCTGGTCAGCCCCCTGGCCAGCCCCAGGCCCTTGCTTCCAGAAGCAGAGCAGGGCTGTCCATTTACTTTGTCATTTGAGTGAGGGTGAAGGATGGTGGTGAGGACGGTGAGGCTCACCACCAGGCCTGGCACATTCTTAGCATTTGGTGTTTGCTACCTTGAGCCCCAGAGTGCAGAAGGCAGGTTCGGCCACTGTCCGCATTATCACGGGTGAGCTGAGGTCGGGGGTCCCCACAATCCCACTGAGTGTCAGGCAGGCTGGGCTGGCGGCCTGCTGGCAGCCCTTGTCCAGCCCTGGTGCTGCCCCTGCCTTCTCTCCACAGCTATGCCGGCTTCTACCCTCAATTGCGATACCAGGTGGGGAACACCTATGGCCGCACCACAGCACAGCTGCTCACAGACCCCAGTGTGCAGAAGAGCCCCTGCTCCATACTGTCCCCCATGTCCAAGCCCAAGTTCATCGAGGACGTCAGCAAGCCCAAGGCCCCCTGGGTCCCCTGCCGGGACCTCAACGAGCCCTACGTCCCCCAGTACTCCGGTAAAGGCCAGCCTCCCGGCCCTGCCCCCTCCTGGCCTCACCTTCCACTCGGCATGCTCACCGCTCACTGAGTGCCCTGTCTGAACAGGTCCAAAGCCCTACAGGAACTTAGAGGCCCTGGAGCAGCTCCCAGCCCAGCAGGCAGAAACCCAGGGACAGCCAGGGGCGGAGGACATACCTACACAGGCTCCGAGACCTGCAGGCTTCATGCCCTACCCTCCCTACCCACCCTGCCCGCCAGTCAGGAAGGGAGACTCTGGAGACCTGGGACACCCCGGCCTGAGGCTGGCGTACGGCGAAGAGGCCTGGAAGAGCCCCGTCCCTGTCCACGAAAGCCCAGGGCGGTACCAGGTAACGGAAGATGCAAAGGCACTGGGCCTCACCTTGCCAAGACCCAGGGGGGAGCTGGGCGGTGACT